GAATAGTTTACATCAAGCGTGAAGAAATGATTCCGATCAAAAATATTGCAACCAAAGCTGTCTTGCTTAATCTCATGCTGTTCACACCTGGAACAGAGCGTTTCTTAACCATTAGCCATTAGCAGCATAAATGCTACAATACTGAATGAGTGCTATTGTCCTACCATCGCAAAGCCCTATGCATGCACTGACACCTCTCTGCAGCCACCACAACCAGCAATGAACCGTTGCTTGCCTTTTCCGAGAAGACACGAGTAAGAAACGCTTGCGTCCTTTCAAGTTCCTGAATGTAGAAACGACGAGTAAGGGGCTCACTCGAACCAGAGGAGGTCTTAAATCGAACATAATGAACTTACCTTATCATTTGGCCTCTTTTTCGCCAATCTTCGAATAGCGTATTGTTCCAGTGTATCCAGTACTGAGAATACCACATGTGCTGCCAGTCGCATCCAACCAGCGGCATTGGTCACCACGCGGCGCAAGACACTTGTCATCTCGTCGCAGTACTGGAACAGGATCGGCTCAAACAACCGTCTCAAGACACCATCCAAAATAAGGCTTCAGCCGGTGGGGAAAACGAAATGACGTTTCAAAGGATTTCACAAAAGGAGAAAATCTCCTGAAATAAAAAACTGAGTACATCAAGGATCAAAAATCGGTTTTTATCAAGGGGTAGCATAGAAAAAAAGATGTACTTCGACGGTATCACCAAGACCTCCAGTCATATATAATCTACAGCGACATATTGCAGTTAGGCAAGTTGGTGCCATATCATTATTAACACTTTGGAGCCCATGCGGCCCATATGTGGGCTGCAGTCCCTCGAATACCTGGAACCTTACAACCCCATTTTGGAACAAATGTTAGGTTTTCTCTTTTGTTTTCTTTTCCATTTCATTCGATAAGGTTTCTTCTGCATCATACAGTAGGTTTCTCTTCCAATTTCCTTAATAAAATACTTAAAAATTTCGCTGAATTCATGCGCGACCGCAAATCGTAAAACATGCGCGGTCTCCAACGTGTTAAGTCAACCACGGAGTATCAGCAATCATTACTGAGTCAACTGCAGATTAACAAATCGCATACAAACCTCATTAATCATGTCTTCATTATTCTCAAGTATCAATCGAATAATTAGTTGGGGCAAAACATGTTGCGTAAACACGGTATCCTTTGCAAACACAATCCACTTCAACGCTTTGAACAGTTCTTTATCCGGATGTTGACGCACCTAGAAACATTTTTCAAATATCTGGAACTCATGCAATCTTTAAACCTATGCGCATACCCTTGGCACCCCAATGATGAAGCATTGAAGCAACCAATCTTCATATCCTTGCACATGATCCACAATTGGCCTGAACAATTTTGAAGTCATTAAAAGGCTTAAAGGTCATACATGAAACCAAACAGAAGGAATCCTGCTAAAAAATTAACTACAAATTTTGCCCTTCCCCTTCCCCCCCCCCCCTCCTCCCCTCTCTGATGAGCTCCAGAACAAGGCTTACGGGCTACTTGAACTTGGTCTTTTAAACGGCGTCAACAGCTATTCTCGTCTGTGCTTCTGAACAACGGCATTCCACACTGGAATATAGTAGACGGCTCACCCGCTCGAAGTTTCCTCTCCCCTGCTAAGCTTAGTCCTAGACCTTTTGCTCTTCTCTTTTGACATACAAAGCAGAATCAACCGTTCCTCATTGACTCTTCGTTCTCGAACCTTTCTAGGGCAGAACCTCCCATTCAACCGAATTGAAGTAGCCCCTTATAGCTCTGAGCAAATTATCGAAAGATCATTTGGGGCTGTGCCTACATTGACTCTTACCTCTCCTTAATTGGCCCCCTTCTGTCATGCGTCTGTACCAGACTGCTGCTTCGAAACGGTTCAATATCTCGTCGACATTCATCGCTCAATCTGTAACATTGACCTTGAGCATTTGAATTCCTGGACGATAACTTCAAAATTCTCATAAAGAGGGGATATGTAAAATTCGAAAACTAACCTCTCCATGATCGCAAACTCATCCGATTTCCCGACGAGCTCTGATAGTAACGATTGAAGGGCGTATTCTACCTGATCAAGCACATCCGCATCTAGCAAATTTGAGTAGACACGCCATGCACGCTCCAATATATCCACGTAAAACTGAACAGTTTTCGGGTAAGATGATGTACAACCAATGAAATGAACCTGATATAATCACTGCTCAATCCTGCAGGCAGGTAATCTAAACGACCCTGACGGCGCACTAGTGTTTTTTACTAACGGTCATAACTGTAGAAGATACTGCGTCGGCAAGTCACCCAGCATGCAGAAGAATTTCAAAAGACATCCGACAAGAACCCATAGCGTCAGTCGACAGTAATCGAAATTCAAAAACGTGGCAAAATGGAGTGAAAGAATACCTCCTTAGCATCATCGACGAAAACCATTCTCTTCTGATCCGATGTGGACGTGCCATTAGAGGACCCAATCCTTCCTGGATCCACTGCGCCTAGTCGACCCAGACATTGAGCAGACAGTACACGAAGGCTGAGATCACCACAGTTACGCATTGTGTGTAGTAGAGCTGGTATCTGAATAAGGAGCTCCACAGAAGTTTCCCACAAAACGAAGCACAAGCAGGGTCAACCGTCACGTTGGACCAATTTTACGACCCCCTCCCCCTTCTAGAGGGCCTCGATACGACCCCCCCCCTCAGGGTTAACCCTTCACGACCATCCTCCACCACCCTCGCCTGCCATCGCCATCATGGGGGCGATTCTATAGTATTTGATTCTGAGACCAGTCGACACAGCCCAACTCCGCCCACTTTTCCCTCCAAAATTGCCGTCGAGCGGGGGGATATATCGAATGTGAAACGGCAAAATTTTCGCACTCAACACTCAACCCAAAATCCCAGCCTACAACCTAATCCGCTCTCCGTTCCATAAAAAATCATCCCTTCCCTTACTGTAACATTAACGCTACCTCGCGAAATACGACCCCCCTCTTTTCCACCCCCCAAATACGACCCCCACCCCCTCGTTGGACTTTGTCCAACGGACGGTTGACCCTGGGTACAAGGGTAGAAGAAGTGGCAGTGTCTCACAAGGCTTGCAGCAAGAGCATCCGGCAATGGATTTCCATCCAGCACCGACAACAATTTCTGAAGTACCACACGTCCCACGGTATCACACTCCTCCAGCAACATACGAACACAGCCTAAAGCTAGCAAAAATGACAACTAGGGAAAGTTTTCAGCAAGAACTTGAGAGTGAAGTGCATGGCATTGACTATTTTTCTAAGATGCGCCACGCACCGACTTCTCTCGGGTATTATAGGGACATTTGAATGTGCAGTGGGTGATACAACCTGCGAAATAAGGCACGACGCCGGCCAGCTACCCCCAGAGAGACGAAAAAATAGTTCATGTGCGGAATCTGATGCCAATGATGGCTCGAAGGTTCATCATACTTGGTCACCGGAGTGAAGCCCCAGTCCGAAGAAGGTAGAGCCGCACGCAAACACATCGGAAACACCAACTCCGCCTCAAGTCTGGTGCATCTCACTCGCACCCGTCGAATCGCCGGCGAATCCCTGCAATTGGTCGCAGTCTTTCGCCTGCTTGAATCTTTAGGACATCTAGCATTCAGAGTCCAGCCCAGGAAGGAAGCACTGTCGAGTTTACCTTCTCCCATCCATGCTCTCTCGCCTCCGATATTTTTCGTCTTCCTGGACACCCACTAGATCGTACCTGCCGTCTGTCTCACATTACTCTTCGCGCACAGAGAAAAAGGGTTCTTCAAGAAAAAGAAGGCGCAGAGGGTCGTTCGACCCGCAATCCACTCCTTCGCCCGCAAGCCCCGCCTTCCGCTGTCGGCTGCCACGTGGCGCTGCGAGAAAAGCGCGGGCGCAGTTGCGGCAGCGGTTGCATTGCGGTTCAATGTCATTGGCACTGGAGCAACTGCAGCTAGGTTCGCAAAACTCGTACAACACGCTTCTTCCCTATGCGAGTTGGAATGCTGCTTCTCATTCGGGGTGTAGTCGGAGATTTCCCCTGCTTTCTTTTTCTTTCCCAGACCACTCCCCACCTCTAGCTTCACTAGTGAACGTTATTCTACATCTATTTTATACCAACGCTTGCCTTGAATTTGTACCATCGCGTGAGGTGAAAATCAGAAACCATACCAGAAACTATGTGTTCTATGGAATCATTGGTACATGTACGACGAAGATGAAAATTAATCCGTGATGAATCTCCAGCTTCACTGTTCACAAGCACCATAGCAGTTCGTTCAAATGCCTCGCTGAAATATGTAAGGTCAACGGAAAAGTCAGGAATAATAACTGTTCGCCAAGCATCACAAAAAGGAACAAATATACCTTTGCTCAATCTCTAATGGTTTTCTCCTGTCAAAAATATTGTCCAATAAGTCATTTGTGGCCGGAAATTTTAGCAGCGGCTGGATTGCAATCAAGATTTTCGGAAGCAAAGTGGCAAGCATTCTGGAAAGCTGACAGGATCATCGAGTGACAGGAGTGAAGTGAATGGCAGAAAAACGCTTCCTCAAAAATTGTCCACAACTAACTGAAAGGTATAACTAATTAAAAAATATCTACTATTAACAGCTTAAACACATACCAAAAACATCAGAAATGAAATGGTCTAAAGAATGAGCTCATTTGGCCAGCACACACATTGCTCAAAGTTTTTGGGCCTTCTTTTGATGAATCTAATATTAATATCGCTACAAAAAAAGTTCGCACACCGGGCGCACTCCCGACTGCATCTGATCAATTTAGCAAATTTAATAGAGTAGGTAAGTATGCTTCAAAAAGCATAAGCATAAAAAGCATATGCTTTGAGCGGAAGTGGTGTAGTGGCAAGTGGCACGCTTACCACGCGAGCGGTCCGGGGATCAAATCCTGGGTCGTGAGTCGCCCGGGCCAACCAAGCCTTCCATCCCTCCGGGGTCGGTTAATTGGTACCAGTCTGGGAGGATAAAAACACTGACTTGTACATCGGCTGGCCCCCGCAAGTCATTGTATAGGCCACATCGCATTCAAACGCCACTACGAATGTACAAATGGAAGTAGAATGCGTGCCGCATCCCAAAAAGGGATTGATCAACGGCAAATGCTTTATCCTTTTATCCTTTAAGTATGCTTCATCTTCTTCATACTATTACTCCATTTCCTTGCAGATACGTTCGTCTGATATTTTGACATTAATTGGATCCTTGTTTACTACGATACTTACCTTTCCAATTTTGCTCTTCCATATCAATTTTTCCCGTTTTGTAGACTTTCCCATAGCCAGATTTGTAATATTTTTCATTAAGAGCCGCCTATTTGAAACGCTTCGCCACCGTGAGTGAGTCTCCCTAATTCGACCGGGCAATCAAGTTCCAACCTTCATCAGTCTTCCATGTCTTCGAGTCGTTTTGAAATTAAACTTGAAATTTCCCTGATGACCCTGTTTGTTCTAATGCATGCCTCGCTTCGGTCAGTGACTTTGCGAAACCAGCAAATCTCAAGATACGAGGGATATGCTCGCGGTTGGAATGACACACTTGACAATGTGGAAAATTGACAAGAGTCACACTCATGCGCGCGCTGACATTTGCCTCACAGTCTGACGCCGGCCTTAGCTGATGTGTGCTTTGCTTCTTGGGCTACCTGCCCCAACCTTGATCCAAGCTCGCCAAATTATTCCTCAGATAATACCGAATTCATGACAACACACGACAGAGAGCCATGGCGCTTCATATACGGAAAGCTCGGGATAGTATCAAAATTACTGTCACAGAGAACCAGTTCGATCCCTTGCACGTTACCTCATTATGTACTACACAAACACCAACCTATCACCCAATCGGCGCACAAATTCATTCCAGACGGCTACCGCCCCTTCTCCGACAGCTGTAGCGGCACGGAGAACGACCATCACCTTGTTGCATGTCTGAAATGATAGGAAAGATGGGGGTGGGACTTTTTATCACTAGGGAAAAGTATTTACCTCTTCGAGAAACTTCTCATCGATCAACCTTATTATTGCAGCGAGACTTGACAACAGCACTGAACGCTGTTCATAGTGATCGTCATCGAGCAGACTGCGACGGAACGAAAGGAGAAATCCCAGGTATTCACAACTGGAAATATCACCATATAACATCTAGAGATATAAAATTTAGCAAACCATTACACCGCTTGATGAAATGAGAACCTCTAGATTGGGTTTTCGAAAATGGTAACTTCAGACTAATTACATGAGACAGAACGTCGTACTTTACTCCTTCAAATTAGTTGAAGCGCATGAGCCACTTTCGGGTTTGTAAAACGCTTACGTCAGCCAGTCACGTTATCGATGGCATATCATTTA